CAATCTCTCTTTCAAGTCTCTGTCTGTCTTCTCTTATTTTTGCTCTCTCTCAATCTTCTGAACAAAATACCAGCAGGAGAGAAATTCACAAAAGAGACAGAAGAAATGAGACATTTTCTCCTCTACAGTATCAATACTCCTTAGAATTTTTTTTTTTTTTTATCCACCTTTCTCACCGAGTCCTTATGACAAAAGTTTGATTGACTATTTCAAAGAAACAGTCTAAAAAAAGGAATGAACTACATACTATAGATATCATACTATATCATACATTGCTATATCGTTCTACTTAAAATGAATAATCCTTTCAGCTCACCTCAGATTCTTCTTTATGCTTCTTCACTCCATATTTATAATTGTGTTTACTAAGGTGGCATGTGTAGACTCGACTCCCAATCCACATGAGAGGAACGCCTGTGTAGGGAACGACTGCAGAGTCCCCTTTCGATCGCTTCAGTTCAAATAAGACACGTTTCCCTGGCTTTGGCCTGTCATCTGAAATCCGCAGGGAATTTTAGTCTTTATGTTAATCAAGGTAAATTATTGATGCTCTGTCCTCCTACCTACTTAATCATTCAGTCATTATATATCCATAGTATTCAAACCAAATTTGGATAAACTACAAAAACACTAACCACAAAATCCTGGAGTTTTGGAGTAAAGATTGTACTTTGACCTTGTCTCTTCTTCGACTCTGTCTTTACATGCAAGAACACTTTCCCATGTGCGGAAGACACTGTGCCTCTGGTTCAGCCTCATCTCCTTTTGCCGTTTTGTGCGCTCAATCGCCTGCATCTTGTATTCGGGAAGAACCTCCTTCCCATCAACTACGTCGTAGTTCTTCCGCCAGGGTCTATAGGGGTCCCTTATCCGTGAAGATGCTGATACATACTCCCTTATATCTATATTGCCTTCAAAGTTTTTTCTCTTATTTGCACTTGCTCTATTTACAAAGTTCTCAGGTACCACATCCTTCTCCTCAGCATCACTCTCTCCCTCATGGTTTATCTGCTCTTCAAGGCAGTCGCACTCTCCCTTTAGGTAAACTGTCCTACTGTTGGTCTGGATTACTCTTGTACATGTGTGAAACTTGACCTCCTCCTCCTCTTCCTCCTTGACCTCTGTTGTCCTGTCTTTCCGAGGCCGACCCCTTCCCCTCTTGGCCTTGAGTCTCCCCACCGGTGAAAGGTCACTTTGCTGACCTCCATTTGGCACAGATATCCCTAATGCACTACCTTCCTTGCTATTCTTCTCTATATCTATATTGCTTTTGGATGGACAAACCACAGAATGGCACATCAGTGTTAATTTACCAGTAACTGGGTTCTTCATGAGTCGTAGCACTCCATTGGACCCTCCATCGTTAGCTATGCCTTGTAGAAGACTGGGTTCCTTACTGAGAGGATTCACCTGCTTTACCTCATCCCCAAGCAATTCAGTGGGTAGGGTTTCTATGGAGGCAATGTTCTTCTCAGAATGTAGGAGTATTCTGTATCTCTTGTCCATGTCTTTGGCTTACGGTTGAAAGGGTGTGTATATTCTAACTATACTGCTATCATCTCCTCTTCTTCCATTTCACCAAATCTGTGCAAATGAGAGAAAGTAAAAACAAAAATAAAATAATTATCTTACTGTGATTATAACTAAAAGAGGCAGAAAAATATGCTCTACAGGTTTGGCAAGAACATGTTTTAGGGGTCAAGTAAGATTATCATACATTAATCAGACTACCAAATGTCAAAATACCAGTTACATGTAACTGAAAAAAAGAACAGAAACATACTTAAAATTGAACAGAAACATACTTAAAATTGAACAGAAACATACTTAAAATTGAACAGAAACATACTTAAAATTGAAGATTTAATTCAGTAAGCATCGAACGAATATTATATCTAATTCTGGAATATTTGTCTCCAAAGAGGAAATGCTCATGTCAAGATAAAATACTTAATTCTGACAAAAAGTTATAAAAATGTTTAAGTGGTAGGCATACTGCAATTCTTCTTTTCCTAGTTCTGACTCAAAAATATCTATCTTGAAGGAAAATCAAGAAACTGATTTTGAAAAATAGAGGGAAAAGCATTTTGGTAAACAGAACATAGCTGTAAAAGTCAAGCATCAATAGTTTATTTAATAAATCTCTTATATTGTGGCAAAGTAAAGCTTACTGTCCTTCCTGGCAATTCATTCTCAAATAAGAAAGAAATCTAAATACTATCTTGACAGGTTATGTGGTGAAAGTTCATTGTTCTTTTCAAGAATGGATTGTGCGGAGGCTGTAGCAATTGTTCAACACTCCTCTGCTCTTCCTCTGGCCTTCAATCAAAGACCATTGTAAGTTCAAGTGGATTTGCATAAAACATTGCCAATAAATCTACTAAAAAAGTTCTATTCTGAAGCCCAATATGATACCCAATATCTTACATATATATATAGGTAGTAGAGGGAGAGAGGAATCCATCAATACCAATAAAGTCATGATCGGTCATGCAAATGT